CTGCTGAGGGAGTAGATAAGACTGTGGCTAATACAGACTATATGCTCAGACTTAAAGGAGAAGTAATTTGTTGCCCTGTGGAGGGGAGAGAATGGGGACTGGCAAGGAAGGAAGGGCAGTTCAGATGGAAAGAACAGCTAAGACAAAAGTAGAGAAGCAAAAAAGCACAGGACATATAAGATGAACTAGAAATCGGGCTGGAGATGCATAAAAGGGGCTAAAGAGAAATAAGCCTGAAGGGTAGGATGAGTCAATTTCAGGGATTCTGAGTGTGTCCTGATTTATCTTCCAGGACACAGGATCTCTACAGAGTAGCCAGTGCTTAGCATACGGCAGGACTTAATTAATACTACAACAGACTCATAGCAGGAACCTGTTCTCCACGTACACACAGGAAGCTGCCATCTGTACGCACACGCAATTACAAACATTCCAAATACTCTGCCCTGAACCCCGCAAGCACATCAAATACTCACTGTAAAAGGTCACCCAGCAAACAGCTCTGATCAGTCCTGGCTCAGGCAGAGTCAAATCCTCTAAATAAGATCCACCAGATGCAGTGTCAGGAAGGTCAGAAACTACCCTTTTTCACATCTTGAAGCATTTTTACCATGTGGAACATTTTACGAGAAGAAGGGAAAGGAAAGAGAGAGAGAGAGAGGAAAACAACAACAACAACAACAACAACAAACCTTTCCAGAAATAATAGAATTCCAAGTAATTAAATGTTAAATGATCACAGTAAGCAGGGAATTTATTTTGGCCCCTGCCTCCTTCTAGTGATCTAAAAAGCAGTTGATTTCAAAGACAGCCATGCCAGGAGTAAACCTGGCATTTCATGCCTCCCCTCTTCCACCTCCACCCCTACGTGTCCCCACTGTGTACCTCTGTCGAGCTCACTTGAAATGTTCCACGATGAGGTAGGCACTAAGTCAGCAGTGACTGACAACTCTGTTTCTGAAAAGACAAAGAAGGGAGGGGAAAAAGACAAGGGCAATATTAAATATAGTAACTTATGGGCTGTTAGAAGCATTACAGGAGATTTCCAAAGGCCCTGCCTTCCAAGAGAAACCATGCGGCCCCATAGCTTAGTAAACTTGAATGTCTGCTCTACTTGCCAGGCAGAGGTGCCTGCATTATAGAGGCTATCCAGACAAACACACTGGAGGCCAGATTCCAAGTTTTTTTTCTTTAAATCACAGGCTTGAAAATTAAAATACAAATATTTCATTGACAAAAAACCAAACCTACAGAAATGACCAAACACCATCCAACACAAACTCTTCCTTTTCTTGTTAGAAGACAAGTCTTAGATTAATATAGTCAATAGTCTTCCCATGAAACATGAGAACAGCATTGTTCCTGCTGCTGGCTTCATTTGTGTTTGTGAATTGATAGCATTTCTATTAATAGAGAAATCGATTTCTCTATATTGAAACCTTAAGTCAAGACAAATGAAAGCTAAGTATTTGAATATGGAGAGTCACCCGTGGTAACCCAAATTCAAAGATAATTTTCAAAACCACTATAAATTAAAGCAAACGTGCAAATCAATAGTCTAAGGGACATGATACACTATTAAAATTTTAAAACTCTTCAGTGGTATACTGTAATATACAAATGATGTCTTTGTTTTTGAAAATTTAACCCATGACACCATCCTACTAGCACATTCTAATAGGATTGCACTAACAAATTGTTAGGTTACACACACACACACACACACACACACACACACACACACACACACACACACTGCATTACAGGACTTTAGTGCTAGGCAGGATCTCAGAGAGCCCAGAGCCTGGGTCGTTAGATCCGTGGCACCCATGCCATCACTTCCCCTTCCTTCAGACATCGTTAGTCAATTATGGCCCTTTTTGCTTATTAAACCTGGGGTCTGCCTTACAGCCTTTTCAACACAGTACTCTAGGTAGTCACTGAAAATGGATCTGTGTCGGAATGCAAGATAAACTTTAGTAAGTGGAAGAACTGAATTCACATCCAGGTGTGCTTGACTCCACCACGCACATACCTCCCGGCAGCCCATGCTGCCCAGTCCTCAAGTCTGTGAAACCTGACTTGTTTTTCACCTTACCCCTCTCTGGCTTCACCTTACCTCTCTCTGGCTTCACCTTTTCACCTAGATAAGCACACTCTCTACATTTCCTTATTTACTGATGGGGACCGTCTGCCACATGGCCATAGAAGCCACAACCCGTCATCAGTGAGCTTTGCCAAGGACAGGATGTTTACCCACTGAGACCTTGCAGAGGCCACTTCTAGCTTGTCTACTGGGTCTCCAATCAACCTGCCACGTACAGCAGAGACAAAAGGTTGTTTGGTTTGTGCAGGCCTCCTTGGCTTGTCTCTTCCCCTGTTCAGGTGGGAAAAGAAGGCAGGTGGGAAAGAAAGTACACAAAGCACACGTACCCTTCCCACCCCAAACAGCCCCAGTCACCTGCTACATCCTGAGCCAACGACAGCATAGATTCTTTTAAGGGGACCTGAAGTCAGATGGGCAGTATGGCAGGGATCTTACAGCACAGAGAATTCCAAAATATGAAGCCACAAAGGAAAATCTGCCCAGGTAAGAAAAATGCTTAGCACAAAACCACAGTGGAAGACAGGGCTTCTGTTATCAACCACTTGTCCTCGGAATGGGTATTTCATGCAGGTGATTTCACCAGGAAGTGCTAATTGTCTACATTTTGGAGCCCTCCATGTGTGATTCCAACTGCAACTCCACGCTGACCCCCATCCTGCTGCCACCCACTTTGGCTCTTTGAATAAAGGCCCCTTGTCGGCAGTACTTTGGACTGCTGTGGTTCCCCTTATAAAAAGGCTCATCAAGCACTCCTATACTCAGACTTTGGGGAGCTTGGGAATAGAAGCATGGCAGCCACGGCAGCAATTCAGGCAAGGAAGCAAAGAGTGGGGAAGTGGTGGGATTAAGACAGATTTTGACAGCATTTACATTCAATATTTTCATAGCTTCATCTTACTGCTGCTCACAGCTAAACTGCCAGAAACACAGGTTTCACTTTACAGTGTTAATTTTATAGAAAGTTAGCCACATGTCACTTGGTTTTTCTAGCCTGAATTTGAGTTGCTGATTGAATATAATTTGAGACTGATGACAAATTTATGGATTCTTGGCACTGCTAACAGTTAAAATTGTTCCCCATGTGTCCCTGGACACTAATTACCACTGGGTTCTTAGGCTACAGCAAAGATAATTTCAATTCACAAGCTCATTAAGTGACTGTGATGCTTCTGAGGAATTTTGTTCTCAGACTCCAGATCTATTCCTCGAGATAACCACATGTTCAGCTTTTCAGATAAAATGATAATAAAAACAGACAAAATAGATAAAGTATTTTAAAATATGAATAATCTCCCTGAAAAATATTGTCTTCTGAGGCCACATTGTTTTTAAAGAAAGGCTGATTATTTAATGTGAAAAGTTTAATGTTAGTAGTTTAATGTATCCCCTCACAAAAATGATGTTTAATAAGGTTCCCCCCTCACCTCCCGAAAAGCAGGCTGAATTTTAAGCAAGAAAAATTGAGCACATCTCAATTTGAGAGCCCTCGATTCCAGGGTCAGCAGCAGCTTTAGAGAGATGCAACCGCCAGTCTTGTCCCTGCAGGATCTCCACTAATGGATTCAGCTCCTCTCTTATTTTCTTCACCGTGGCAAAAGGATGAGGTATTTAATACCAGGCTAGCAGCCTCTCTGTGTGTAAAATTTATTGTGGTAATGGCAAATTTGTATGTGCCAATTGGGAGACAGCAGAATATTTAATGGAAATACACACCTACATTAAGATACTAATTTCTGCCACTTACTAATTTTGTGATCAGGACCAAGTTACTTAACATCCTTTGACCACTATTTTCTCATCTGTAAAATGGGGACAATAAAAGCCACCTCACAGGAATGTGGTAAGGACTAAATCACATTATGGACCAAAAATCACATTATGGACCAAAAGGGTGCCCAGCACAGAGTGGATACTCAAGATCTTTCATGCCTTCCCTTCTGACTAGCAAGGCAAATGGGCATATGCCGTGTGGACATACTCCAGTTAGCGGCTATGTCACTGTCTAGGTTTGAAATGACGCATTTGCTGTGCTTTTAGAAAGACCCTATTTTGCATGCCTTACTAATCCAAGCCAATCTTTTCATTTTGTGAGGTTTTCCTGAATCGGTCACTGGTTCTCTTAGAACATCAGTGTTTTTATGTGGTTTTATCCAATTTAAGCAAATCCAGCATGTCTGAGAAAACTCCAGCTCTTATCTTTCCTGACCTCTGCAGGAGGGCAAGACATTCTTCTCCCAAGTTGATCAATAGGAGCTATTATCTTTGCAGTTTCACTGATGAGTGACTTTTTGGCACTGATTCTGCAAACATAAGGTTTTGGTATTTAAGCCTGAACAGTGGGAGTGTCACTTGGAGGGAGGGGAAAAAATAATAAGCCTTGAATCCTCCTCATTGACAAAAGCCTGTGCTCTCCACGAGGATCACTGGTTTGTCTCAGCAGTTGGCAGGGAACAACCCCATGTTCACAGGATGCAGAAGCTCTTCCAAGAAGCCCCTGGCCATGCCACATCCTGTATTCTGATCCAGTAACAAGCTGAGGTTACACAGGCACAAACCAGCATTCTCACGAGACTGGTGGCCAGGCAAGTGGTCACAAAGGCCAAGGGTGAGGGACAAGTGGCTGCCCCAATGCCCTTCATGACCAGTGACACTGAGTCCTGCAGTGTTATATCTGAGTGGGCCATAGAGGCCCAGGACTTATTTAGCAAACTATGTTGTTGGTTAGTGGGTTTTTTTGCTGCTTGTGAGTCAAACTTTAATAACCACTGTGGGGCGTTTTCCCCACAGAGTTAACAAATTTATAACTTTTTAAAAAGGGGTGCATGTTTTAATGTGGCAATCGTATGTGGATCCTTCTCTCCTTAGATATAAAGCAGAAGTGTCATGTGATGTTGTATGCAGTATTTTAATTTCTTACAAGTTCAAGTAGCTCATGACTCAAGCCTCAGGATTTCTGGAGGTGTCCTTATAGGGGACCTTGGAGGATCTGGGGATACAGAGGACAAGGGGCCCAGGCTATAGCTCCTCCTTCAACAGGAACAACTCTACGTTTCTCTGTGTTACATATTCAGGTGTCGTGGAAAAATGCGCCGACGCTTTAAACAAAAAAATTTTAAGCCTCTTATCTGGTACGGTCTCCTCATCTGACAGATGAAGAAAGTGAGGCCCACAGCAGTCAAGTGACCTGGCCAAAATCACGGTCCTAAGGTAGAGCCAGGCCTTAGAGATGGCTTAGAAATAAATGCATGCTTCAATAAAATAAATTTAAAAGAAAAGAAATAAATACATGCTGCCTTCTCATTGCCCTTAATCTTCCTCTGTCTGTGCCCGTAAGAGATGATATGTCTCCTTAGAAGCTGAGTTCAGAGAGACGCACAGGGAATATCTAAACAGCTGGCGTCAGTCACATCAAAGGGGCACACTTTCTTCTGTGGTAAAAGAAGGTCTCTGCTCGTGATCATCTGGGGAAAGAGGGTGGGAAGGAGGCGAGGGTGCAATGGCTTCAAGTTCTCTGGGAGGCAGCGTTACTTTAGACACAAGGATCTCAGCCTTGGTTAATTCCTCTCCCCAGCGCCTCGGTGGAGAAGCCCATAGCCAGGTACGACACCTTCACCAAAGGCACCTGTTTGGGAAAGTCAGAGCCTGCTCTCCTTAGAAGGGCAGGCAGGCCACATTCCCCAACAGCGCCAGGGAGTTAGTCAGCCTGGGCATTGCTCTGGCCCTGGGTTCACAATCACTCCACATCTAGGGTCCTGAATGAGGGGGCCCCTCCACTCTGGGACTCAGTTTATTTACTGAGGAGAGGGAAGTGAGAGCCTCCTTTACCCATTCTCAGGAGTGGAGAATTACT